TTCTTTAATGGCTTATTTCTAGAAGATTGGATCGATCTATGCCATATAGACTAGTTAGGGAATTGCCATGTGTCCCCGTTGGGGCTTTGGTACTTGAGTTCTCACCCTTTCCCAATGTGCCAATTCTGCTCTTGCATTGTAAACTTGATCCAATGTTATTAGTGGAAGATCTTTGAGCATGTATGTGTTCAATTTTGTTAAACAGCATTAATGTCTTGTTGGCACCTTTGTTAAGCTAAACTATAAGGTTTTTAGGCACTTAGAAGCCCTACTGGTTTGGGTCTTGTTAACACTTGGTGTAAGTCCAACTGTAAAGGTATTGCAGGCACTCATGAAGTCTTGTTCGTTATAAAGGCTTGGCTAACACTTATGAAGTCCAGTCGATTAGTGGAAAAATCTTCAATGGTGGTTCGAGGTAGAGGATGTAGCCATGTAGGCAGGGTTGGCTGAACCTTTATAAAAATATCCACTTGCCTTATTTGTTTTCTTTTCTTATTCTTGCAAGTTTTGCAGTTCATTTTATTTGCCAATATCTCATATAACTACATTAACTTGAGTACTTGAGATCTTGCAAACATTTTCCTTTTATTGTGTTTCTAATTGTTTATCCTCAAGATACATGATCTCTTAATGCAGTAATATGGTCTACTAACTTTACTAATTTCATTAATTACACTAACATACTAATTGCCTTTACATTTACTGTTATTATTGTTGTTTATACTTGTTGTTCTTATAGCTGGTCCATATCTCAACTATTTTGTAGCAGCCCCATTTCATTACTACTTACTTCTTTGTGGCTAGTCTTCTCTCTCCAACTGGAAAGGCAGACCATCAGGTGCAACTACCCGTTACTTTGTGCTTGTTTTACATTTCAGCAACTTCTTTCTTTTCTACAGTTATTTTTATTTACAACTCTTATTGTTTATTAATTGTAGATCCACTAACCTAATAGTAGGGTACAAATCTTAATTGGTTAATTAACATTTCAGTTTCTATCTTTCTTGTTAGCAATCTTTATCTTTACTATGATTAACTTTTGACTACTAACCCCTACAAGTCCTATTATATTATTTACTTATTTGTTTTGTAGCCATAGGTTTCATTAGTTCAGCAATTTGGTTAATTCAAGTTCAATATATTGGTTAACTGTTGAGCCTTACTGACTAAGCCTTAAACTTCTAGTGAAACTAATTATTAAAAGGCTTTGGTTTAGTTTGAGAGGAAGGGGTGGTGTCTGAAACGCTAGATCAGGCATATCTAATGTGAGGGTCTGAGGGGTTCCAGTTGATTTGTTTTGGTTTTGTGGTTGAGTTTGGGTAGGAAACTAGGTCGCAACCTAATGCTAATGGTGGACTAGTAGTGGGGGATGAGTCTAAGGACGTTGGAGTGTCTACATGAGCGACTCCTTGGTTTCAAATTATTGGCACTCCAAAGCATCAATTCGATTTACATTTTGGAGGTTGACATGGATGGTGCCCACCTACTTTTCAATATTAATGACTCTATTTGTGAGGTTATAAACTTTATCGACGAGGTTCTCGAACTCACCATCTTCAAAGTTGAACTAGGTTTCAATGTCATTGTTCTATTGCAGGTCCTTTATAGAGTTGTTAGAGATAGGGGTCAAATTGGTCTTCCTTGTGGCCATCCCCGTGCTTAGGAAACAAGCCAAAGATTCTAATATAGGCAAGGAAGGTAAGGCAAAAGAGGAGGTCTACTTGAAGGATGATAGATGACTCTAGGGGTTCTAGAAGACTGAGGTGAGTAGAGTATCAAATGTCTCCTATTCATAAACATGAAGGATGTAAAGGAGGGAAAACCCTTCTCCTATTTATAAATGCAATGAGAAAGTTTGTTATTCTGTTAGATCTAACACATGTAAGACGATTGGGGTGTCATCATGTGTTCATGTGGAGATCCTGAAATCTGGGTTTTGCTCTTTTCCTCAAGGTCCACACATGAGCACTAGTGTAGCTATTGCCCCTTATAGAACTTAACCTAGTTACGTTGTAAGAATTTCTTCTCTAAAACTCCCAAGTGTTAGTTTGACATCGCAATATGAGTATGAAAGAACTGCATTGTTGTATTGTTGCGAAGTGGTGCTAAGGCGAGATGCCTTCAAAGCGTAGGAAGCCTTTACGATGTGAGATCAGCCTATAGAGCAATACGTTAACAAGGTTTTCTGGCCAGGGCTAATAGTGGTTTTGTGATGCAATGATCAAATACAAGTTGTGAGTTTGTAGTTTATGAAAAGACGGATTGTGATGCGATGAGAATTTGGGGCCGAAACTATAGTATAGCCACACTATGGTTTTGTTTGCATGACTTCCATCACAATTCCCATAATGTTTAAACCCATGTACTTACATATGGTAAATAGCATGTGTTGGCTAGTTGCGTTGGTGTGAAATCCTCTATTATGCATAGTACAAACAGTAAAGACACATCTTCTGAAAAAATTCTAAATTCCCCAAATGCCTCCAAGAAGGTGTCTGTCCTTTATACACCAATGAGCCAATAGAGGCTCCATGTACTCTACCCCCTCCTCCTTGCCATACCCTTGAAACGAATAATTGAAATAAGCAATCCACTAGAGAAAAGAAACTTATCAAAGCATAGGGTTGCTCAAAACCCAATTTTCCCATCTTTTATGATTTCCTTCAAGAACACATTGTAGAAGCACAACTCAGGCCCCTCTATGACATCAAATTGATGATCTTCCCCTTTTAACAATGACACAAGAGGATGAAAACTTTGGCATGTCTCTTAGCTATGCAAATTTGTTGCTTTCCTTGCCAAATTTTCCATGTCCAAATGATATAGGAAAGCCTCGAACGGGTGAATAGAAACAACAACAACAGTGAAAGTTGACTCACTCTCAGCCATGATTTCTATTTATGGTTAATAGTCACTAGAGATGAAGAAGATGGTGGTTGTAGGGAATGTAAGTTGTAACTAAGATGAAGAAAACGAAAGGACTAAAGGCTTTTCAAATTGAATTGGTGGTTTCTTAACCCCAAGTTATTTAAATAAACCCAACACATGTATGCAATGCTTCGATACAATAACCGCATTTACAAAACCACATTATGAGGTTTGTAATAACTCTGGCAGTCATTTAATGCTTGCACAATCAACGAGTTGTCACAATGACACTTAATCATTTCATTGCATTAATGTAATTTTCTTTTAATGCCTTTCGTTAATTAAATATCTCATCAATAATATCAAATGTCATGTTAGAACATCTACGACCCTTTTGCATAGGGGGCTTCCCATTGCACTCCTTACCCATTTAACAACTTAGCTACATCGCAACTACAATACTCATTCCTTGCTTATTGAAAAAAATATACTTTTATCAATAAATTGGGAGCTACATTAGGGTAGGCAAACAACAAAATGATCAAATCCATTTTTTACAGTACAACGATACACTGTGCTTACTGCCGGAATTACTTCTATCATTAAGCAATGGGGCTAATGTAAGTACATGGATTCAGAGAGTATGAGAATTACAATGGAAATCATGCAAACACATCACCATGGTGTGGCCATATTGTAGTTTGCACCCCAAGTTCACCACATCACAATCCCATTTTTCAAAAACTACAAAATTGCAACTCACATTTAACCCTGTGATATGAAATAACACCTCACTATTGCATCCCAAGTTCAATAGTCCCAACACGAGAACCTCATTATTATAACTTTTCCTCACGACTTGATTCTATATCGCAAGGGTCTCTTATGCTACGATGGCACCATGTTTTAGCATTGCATCACAACATAGTAGCTTCGTTATACTCATTCCATGATACTACTCTAGTGCCCTATTGCCCATCGCATAGAGGGCATTCAACACTTGGCCATTTTTAAAGAAGGGAATTCTTACAACATAATTGTGATACCTTCTAGAAGGGGGCTGTAGTTACACTAGTGTTCATGTATCGACCCCAACTCCCCAAGAAGGGTAGGAATCCAAATCCCGAGATTTCCATATGGACACATGGTAACACCCCAAGCACCTTGCTTGTTTTAGATCTAATAGAATTTTAACAAATTTTCCCTCCCTTATGCATTCACGTATGTAAACATATAGGAGACAAACTCTCCTCACCTTCATCTTCAAGAGTCCTTGTGGAAGTCCTGACACTAAGGGTGATCATTTCAGCCTGAGTCGACCTGACCCAAAAATTATGGGTTTGGGCCTGGGTTTTGTGTTTAGGCCTAGCCCAGGCCCGAGCTCACATCAGGCCTACAAATTTTAGGGCTAGGCTTGGTCTTAATACTTTAAGCCTAGCCCGGCCTGCATAATTTAAACTTACACATTGTGTATAATGTGTACATATGTATATATGTTATTTTACATTATTTTATATATAAATATTATGACATGACATGTATAATTAATATTATATAATTCATAAAATAAGTTTATATGCATATTATGTCATTTAATATATAGATATGTAATGTTTTATATATGAGTGACGTTTGGCCGAAATCAGGCCTGACCCCGCCTCAACCCTATAAACCTGGGCTAGGGCTTATGTTTCAGGCCCGAGCCTAAACTATAGACCTTATCATAAGTGCAAAGCCAGGCCCAACCCATGATCACCCCTACTTCACACTCTCAAACCCTAATTCTCCCAAATTTGCAAACCCACTTTCTCCCTCACTAAAGCCATTTAAATAGACCTCCCTACAGTTTTACCTTGCTTACACCTGATGGCATCTGAGTTGGGAATGGGGACTTGTTTTAAACTTGGGGAGTATGTTCCCCGCCTGGATTAACCCAATATGGTTAATCCGGGTTTGCCATTAACCCGATTCAACTACTTCCTAACGATGTATTTCCCAAGGGCCCCATTCCAAAATGTTTCGGACATATTTGTCATTTCTATTACTATTCATATTGATGGAAGTAAAAACCTTTTGGCGCCACCAGCCAGCAGCGGAGCTGATGAGCTGATCATTTATGCGACTTTGTAAGTGTAACGTAACCCGAAACATTTCTTTCATTACCTAGTTTTGGAGAAGATTAGGGTTTCAAACCTCAAACTATCACCGGTGACACTGAGTAGCAGAGTTCGCCGCCTTTTATTGTTTCATATCTATTAGAAGGTAAATAAGAAAGAAACCCTAAGAACCCTAAAGTCGCGTTTACTCTATCCTTCTTTATATCTAACACTAGTTGAGCTAAAACCAGTTCTAAGCTTAGTGTATATATCATTTTTTCCCTCACTATCAGAGTTCTCAGTTGAAGTCTCACAAAAACCCTAGGATTATGATGTCTGAATTTAAGGGATACGTTTTAAACTATTAACGGAGAAACGTTTCTTTGATGGCTTAGAAACACGGGAAGAGGTTGAGATAGAAGTTGGATCCTAAAATGGAAGAATCTCCTACACTTGGCAAGCGGAAAGCCCCGGATGAACCAGAATCAACATCCAAGCATTCCCCTGAAGAAATACCTAAACCTGAACCTGCAGCTAAGCGAAGGAATTCGGGTCGTACATGTGTCCATGAGGTTGCAGTACCGACTGGATATACTTCCACCAAAGACGAAGCTATCCACGGAACCCTTGCGAGTCCAGTCTACAATGGTAAGATGGCAAAGACCTATCCGTTCAACCTTGACTCATTTCAGCAGGTATCTGTGGCTTGCTTGGAGAGGAATGAATCCGTCTTGGTTTCTGCACACACTTCAGCTGGTAAAACGGCAGTCGCCGAGTATGCCATTGCAATGGCTTTTAGAGATAAGCAGCGGGTAATTTATACATCACCGCTGAAAGCTCTAAGCAATCAGAAGTATAGAGAGCTAAGCCAAGAGTTCTCGGATGTTGGTCTGATGACGGGTGATGTCACTCTCTCGCCAAATGCAAGTTGTTTGGTCATGACAACAGAGATTCTCAGGGGAATGCTTTACAGGGGTTCTGAGGTTTTGAAGGAAGTTGCATGGGTTATCTTTGACGAAATTCATTATATGAAAGACCGGGAAAGAGGAGTTGTTTGGGAAGAGAGTATCATATTCTTGCCTCCTGCTATTAAGATGGTATTTCTTTCAGCAACAATGTCAAATGCTACTGAGTTTGCTGAATGGATTTGTAATTTGCACAAACAGCCTTGTCACGTGGTGTACACAGATTTCCGACCTACTCCATTGCAGCATTATGTGTTCCCGATGGGTGGATCAGGTTTGTATCTTGTTGTGGATGAGAATGAACAGTTCAAGGAGGACAATTTTATGAAGCTGCAGGATACATTCACGAAGCAGAAGAAGCAGGGTGAAGGAAATAGGAGTGGGAATGCCAAAGCAAGTGGGAGGATTGCAAAGGGAGGTACTGCTTCAGGCGGCTCTGACATATACAAAATTGTGAAGGTATACGTATTTTTACTTATCTTTTGTATTACTTTTCATGGTGTCACATGCTTTTTGTTTTTAGTTTTATTTTATCAAACTTAACTGCTGTGGGTGAGGGGTTGTTTATTTGTTAAATCATTGCTAGGTCTACATCATGTTCACTGCTATCTTATAGCCTGTGAGCTTCTAAAAGTATCTTTTTTCAGCTGATGACACTATTCATAATTTAATGTAGCTTTTTTTTTTCTCTCTTTCATTTTCCATTCAAGGGGAAAATATGGATATGTGCTTTTATAGGGACCAGGAGACATGCTTCAGTCTTGATTTACCAATAGAAAGCTACAGTCATGGTTTCTTGCCAAGTTATTTCTATCATGTAATTAATTGAAAAAGTTCGTATTCTAATTCATGGCTGACTTGGTCTTCAATATTGGCAATACAACTGTTAGAACATTCCATGAATATATAGAACCAATAGTTTGTGCTATTTAGATGAGAAATTACTATTTCTTCAAACACAGCTGTTTGGATGATCTCAAATCATCTTAGAAAGGACATTTGAGGCTTTGATAAATATTTTTTTTGATAGATAAAATTCAATTGATTTCATTAGAAGCAAATGATAAAATGTTCATTACAAGCATCCCAAAATGAGGCGCGAGGTGCAGCCTCACTCATTGGTACAGAAGCATCATAAATTTACAATCGAGCCCAGTACAACTGTTCCCTAGTTACTCCTCGTTTAGCTAGAGAATCAGCAAAAGCATTTGCCTCCCTCCCCATCCACTGTATTTACCTCCATCTGCTGAGTTAACCATTTGAATTTCTTCAATTCATTTCTCTAAGCCTAGGTCACTGAATCTGGGTTTTTTAGCCAACCCACCACCACCTTGGAGTCCCCTTCTATCACCAAACTTTCCAATCCTAGCTCTCTTGCAATCTGTACACCTTGTATGGTTGCGTACAATTCTGCCTTTAAAGAGCTATTGTTTTTAGAGGAAGAGATTGAAGAGGCAGGTGGCGGGAAGACTAGAAATGGCGAAGAAAATGGTCCTAAAGCTGTGAAATCTCCTCTTCCCCTCGTCGAGGGAGCTGACTTTGAGTCTAATGAATTACAGGATGTTGGTGGAGAGGGACAAGAATCGGCCGTGAGCATGGATGTGGGTATTCCGGTTTCGGAAACACAAAGAAAGGATTTCCAAGTGGGTAGGTCGTCAGGAAGTGATTCTTTCACTATGTGTACTTCACAACTTTGTCCAAAAAGGGGAAAGGCCTTAAAACCATTTGTCGCCTGTCAGCAACTCAATTCCAATGATTCTAGTCCTACCCTCGTCTTACCAGGTATGGGTGTCAATTMTTTTTTAGGTACTGACTTGTCTGCTATGCCTGTAACAGATATTCCAGCTTCCCATCCAGGAGGTTCTGATGCAAGAGAGAGGGTGATAGTGGAAGGAGGAGAGAGGGTGATGGAAGGAAGTAATAAGGGGGAGGCGGCCATAATTTGGGAGTTGATCTGTACAATGATGGAGGAACTAAAAAAAAGGAAGGATTCTTAGAGAGATGCTGTAGCCAAAATAAGTGTGAGCAGGGTAAAATTCTTCCTCAGACATTGATTGTTGTATTAGGAGGGGGGGGAAGGAACAAAGAAGAAAAAAAGATCTGAAGTGGAAAGGCTAATCTYARACATTGAGGGAGATTTAGAATTTAGTGGTAGAGGGGATAGGAGGAAGGGCCTAAAATGAGGAGATTATGGCCTTTTCATGGGTTTTTTGCTATTTTGTCTCGATGAAAATTTTTAGCTGGAATGTAAGGTTAGGGAATGCAAGAAGGCCTTTTCATGGCCTTTTCATGGGTGAGGAGTTTTTGGAGGTCTAGAGGTTTATTTTGGAGCTCATCTCCTTGGGGAGACTTGGGGGGGGATCGTAACACTGTGGAGGGAGGATGTGGTGGAAGTAGTGGAAGAATTGATAGGCAAATTCTCAGTTTCCATTAAGTGTAAGAATATAGAGGATGGGTGTGTATGGGTCTTAATCAATGTTTATGGCCCTAATTCCTATAGAGAGAGGAATGAGATGTGGGAGGAATGGTATGCAATCAAGGGGCTATGGGATGGCCCTTGGTGCCTGG